TTTACTACTACTTTACCGTTCAGTGTTCTGTCATTAATGTAAAACGGGTTTCATCTCTGAGCCGTAAATTTGATGGAATGTAGCCGTCATCACGCCTACTTGGACACGGCACAGCCTGCATCAATTTTTACTTGCTCCCAGAAGGCCTTTTGTCGAGCCAAAGCGTCCTTCGAGTCTTTCGCGATGAGGCAGTAGGGGACAGAAGCAAGGCGCAGCCTGGAGCTTCCGGCACTGTCAGCGCCTTCGAGCACAACGTAGGCCTGTGCGTAGCTGCCGATGTAGTAATCCCTCTTGACGCGAGGCCTGCGTTTTTCCGAGCTGGAGATTAGCTGGGTGGCATCCGCCTCGAGCATGTCGATGACCTCTTCTGAGAAACGGTATGACTTGATTAGGTGGCCGAGGTTAGCGACGCGCCAGAATCTAAGGTGATCAGGCATGGTGGCATAGATGCCGTCCCTTGCCCTGTCATCTTCATAGGAAATGCATTCACCACGTGGCAGAAACGCGCCCACCCACGGGTACTCGTCACTATCCACGCCTTGCTTCTTCGCTTCAGTCTGGATGCACCCCTTCGCGCGTTCGACCTCCTGAGGCCAGAGGAACCGCATATCTTCCCATGCCGGCCACTCTCCCCCCGGTGTGAATGCTCCGCCACCTGCTACCCATTCCTTGAGGGGGAGTCGGAGGTGCTCAGGCACCAAATCACGCCAGGATGCACCGCGCCAGAGATATTTGTTGTTCATTGCGGTATCGATCACACTGTTCCATGCGGGCAGGCTCACGACCCGGCCGGGTTCGCAACGTCCGCATACCAACTTCTCCTCGGGCCCTACGACCACCTGGTTCTTCGAGCTCATCGCAATCAGAGGCCGACACATGCCCTTCCAAAAGAGTGACTTGTGGTCGCCAGAGGGCTCAAGCGCATTGTAGGACTTCAACAACAGTTCGCGCAGCTCGCTCATGCTCTTCGTCTTCGTCTTCAACGGAGTGATTTCGTCGCTCAACTGGCCAGTTTCGGCTAACTTGAGCAACACCTCTTGCGCCATGCGAACTCTCTCAGCCTCGTCGGCAGCCTTCTTCACGTCCTTGTACATGGCCGCGCCTTCCAAGTCCAGCCTCACGGTCGGATGGACAGCGCGACTGAGTACCTGGATCTGCTCCCGACTAAACAATGTCCCTTCGCTCTTCATCAGCTGATCCACAGTCTGCAAGGCTACGGCTAGAAACAGTCGTGACGTTATGCGATCATCGTGACCAAACCCTAGTCTCACGCACTCGGGCATCGGCGGAGGAACGCCGGATACCTCGTGAATCCGGCGATCCCACACCACTTGCCCGAAGTTAAGAGACCCACAACACTCCTCACCCGGAGCAGTAGCGTCAAATGTCACCCCAGTGAGCACCGACAGTAGTGGCGAGACTGCTTGCGACTCAGCAGCGTAAAGACCTCTCATCAATCCGAATACAAAAAAGCCCTCAAAAATTACTCGACTCTATCAAGGACATAACGCACATCTGTTGTAGCTCACAAGATGTGCGTTATGTCCTCGATAGAGCAGGCTACGGCGACCACTTGGTTTGGGTCGGCGCCGGACGTTCCTTTGTGGCTCATAGTTTTTTCCCTCAAAAAGTCCGCCCTCTTCAAATCGAACGCAGTCCATGTCTGGCGTGCAGCAGTATCTCTGTCCCGCCGCCCGTCGCCGATGACCCCAGATGCGTGGAAAGGGAAGGGGGTAGGAGTCTTCCACCATGGCCGCGTTGAGCCTGCGGTAGTCGATGACGCATCTCCATTCTCCGGTTTTCTTCTTAA